GACGATACAAGATGCGAAATGTCATTGAGACGCGAAACATCACCAGGGACAAGACGCCAGAACCAAATGACTTTCTCCGGACCGATCACAACGACACCAGGTGTGCTTGGCCTTCAGAGTCTGCCACAAGACGGCGATTGAAACAATTGTGCAAGGAGAAGTTCACCATCACCGCCCATTACCAGCGATTGCGGGAATCCAGGAGCCCTTCGCCATTCCATGAACAATTTACCCGTCGGCCAGCCTCTCGTTTGTCTCATTTAGGTTCAAATCAAGACTCACAAGTGTCAACCGCTTATGCCACCAGGGAACTAGGCATCTCGCTCGTCGCTAGTGGTGCAACGGCTCCTCTAGCACAGCTCGTCACGGGAGATTCGCCTCCAACCCAGCAGATGTCGGATGACTGGTTCAATACCCCGATCAACGCTTCGTCCGACACCATGGTGCTCTCCACCCCAGCTGGTTTAGGTATCAAGTCGGAGCCCGACAAGTTACAAGTTGCAGGCAGCATCCCACGCTTGGCTTCGCCGTTTAATTACAGTACTTGGAACGGGTCAGGTAACTCCAACACTCAACATCGACGCCATATTAGCCACCAGCACTTTGATACTGTTCACGCCACTGGGACGCGGTTGCTCTCCCCATTCAAACTAGAGCCAGAGAGCTCTCTTAATGTCAACAAACGACGAGCTCAGCATAACTTGGAGGACGAACTCAGTCCCAGCGGGAGCAACATCGAAAAGCTCAATGTCGACCTCAACCGGCTCCCTGCCCCAACCACATTTGAGCCAGAACCTCAGGTCCGACCTGAACTGGTCTTCACCGGAGCAGGGGACATCAATCAGCGAAGGATTCGAGTTCGAAATCGTGGTGCAACATTCGGCGCAGTGAATAACCGAGAGCACGTCGAGCGCCTCTTTACTCCACCCACCTCTCAGTTTCCGAGTGCTGATGGCATTCCGCCGGTCCCACCTTTACCAGCTGCGTTGACGGCATTGGCGAAGCCCAATGTTCGGCCGAGCTCCGGTGGGCTTGCCCCGCCCGAACCTGATTCGACTCAGAAGCGACTAGGGAGCCCATTCGAGCTGGATCCCAACAAGCGAAGCTACCGGTCCAAAAACCCTCGACACGTACCGAGTTTGAGTGACCCTTTCATAAGCACCAGCGCATTCGCGACGACACCAAGTCACGGACACAACGCGATGAGCATCGGAGAACGGCTGGCAATGTTTAATACTTTTCATCCACCCCACTTTCCGCGGCAAATGGCCAACCCACGATCAAGGGATGACCCGTTTGCTTGATGGAGAATCCGTTTCGAGTATAATGTTTTCATTGAACAACGATGGTTTTGCGAGGAGAGCATATGTTTTGTGAACCCAGTGCCGGATGCATTGGTACAAGTTCTTTTGCCACGGCGTTGATAGGACAGATTCAAAGCGAATCATATTTGAAAATCTGGAGTGGAGAAAATGGGCGAGCTATTGGCGAGAACTTGCATGGGGGAGCCTTGTGCGTGTTTTTTGATTGATCAACACAGCGATTTGCATGAGCAGAGAGATGAAGAAAAGCTATTTGCCCTTGGAAGTTCTCATTGGGGCCAACATGAAGATCAACAGGCTTGATGATATCAGTGTTTCAAGATACCGATTGGAGCTTGCCTCAGCACATGTGAGAGTATTGGTTGCCACCAGACGATTCAGAAGGGGTAACGTAGTCTCGCGGTGGTTTTATCGATTCTACACATGCATGCAGACAAGACAGATTTGATGGGGATCAGGACAACTTTGAGAGCAGATGGTTGGTCGAATGGCCGCTTGCTCACAAGGCTGAGCCTGATTTCTCTGTTTATGAGATTATGAAATTTGACGCACGACTGGGAACAAAGAATGAAGAATGAGCACGATCACATGTATATTCAGGTCCGGAGATGTGGCGTTTGCCCTCTTGAATTACTCGTCGTCTGTAATACTTAGTGTTCTCGCCTTACCACAGGACAGCCTGGCTCAGCCTTGCGTAGCCTCGTCCCTGGATGTACTAGCCACCAACGCTTGGCCGTATGTAAGTCTGTCAGCAACAACGCCAAACTTCTCTCTACCTAGCGTCACCAGTGTTCCATTCTCACTGTAAGACACTTACACGCTTTCTAGCCAGTTCGTCGCTAAGTCTGACTGGTTGACTTTGTTCCTGGTCAGAATCTGCACTGAGCTAGCCACCTCGACTACATTAGCATGACCAATCTGTCTGCATGATGGAATAGCATGATTCGCCAACTTGGATGACTAACCTGTTGATCTTCAGGCGGTAAGAATTGGTGAACTCGGTACGACAGTCTCAAAGCCTCAGGGCAAAGTGGGAGGGTTCGAGAGGGGCCGCTGCACAGACTAGCTCCAGAAAAGCAGAAAAAGGATGACGGCAACTTGGCCCGTCTCTCCACCAAGCAATCCTGTATGACATGGGGAGGATGGCGAAACAGTCGACCGTGACAAAGAGCGCGACTTCGAAGGGTGTGCAGTTCATGAGCACCAAAACACCCGGCAATTTTCAGGTGACACGAGAACGAGACCGCCAGGAAGTGCGCGCTTTGGCGATCCGCGCAGCATCCTTTTCTCGCCCAAACAGGAGGAAGAAGAAGGACCGAAGAACAACCTCTCAAAAACCCCGATCCTGTTCTGATTCTGTCAAAGAGACGTCAGCTGGGAACACTCGAGGCGATCCGCCTGTTTCGCCTGTCGTTACTCCCGAACCCTATGGACTTTTGGGAAATGGAACATCTGATCCCTTTGACTGCATGCCCATCCCTATCACCGCTGACTCCCACGACATCCTGACCTACGTCCGATCGTTTACCTATGCAATCAACTGGCCCGATGAACTTGAAGCGTGCCGAGAGGGAGGGAGTTTGTACCGAATGCATCTCGTCATGTACAGGAAGTATTTCGAACACGCGGCTCCTTTGAGCGGCTTGCTGTCCTACGTGTACAACCTGATGGCCATCGCGCAGCCAGAAAGGGCCGATTGCTACCGCCAGATATCGATGCAACATTCTGTGCACTGTTTCAGAGGCCTCCGAAAGCTGATCGACAACCTGGACTACTCGTACGATCAACTCCTTCTCATCTTGCAGACCATCTGGCCGCTGGCAAGTGCAGAATATTCCGAGTCCGTTCGAACAGGGGACGACAAGTGCTCCCAGCACCGTGACGCCTTGAAGAAACTCATTCGCCTCCTGGGAGGACTTCACAGGCTACCCCTGGTCTACAGAGAATTGATTGTGCATTTCTTCGCCAAGATTGCGGTCGTGACGGGCGTTTGCACCGAAATTGATCCCTTGTCGTGGGACCCTGGACCCTGGAGTGGTCAATACAACGTATCGATACCTCCCCAGTTTGATGAGGCCCGAAACGTGGGAGGAGCTGGGCAGACTGGTGACCCACAGACTTTGCCGGATATATTCGCCGCACTGAGAGAACTGGTCGCTGTTGAAGAAGTGAAAAGGCGTGGGACTTGGTCCGATGAAGACCACCTCAGTCCGATATTCCGGTGGTCATTCTTGCGTAGAGTCGCCCTCAAGATGAGGCTGTGGAACCTTTGGCACAGTCCCGCCGATCAGCTCGACACACCACCTCCGCCAAACACACCGCGCGGATCGTTAGACTCCTCGCTGTGTCTCGCGGCGCAACTATTCATATACCTAAGCCTGGAAGCGCATCCCATCAGACAACCATGGTTTTCGGCACCGACGCAACATGCAGAAATGTTGGAGCAGATCAAGGCAATGGACACGGTACTCCTGCAGAGGGTGAAGTACCTCGACGCAACAGCAACGATACAGGTTCCCTCGCTGGAGAGGCTAGCGAACAGCGACCCGACCGCGCATTCACAGGAGCAGGATCTTCTCTGGATCGTTGCCGTTGGGGCATGCTTTGAAGAGGAGGTCAGGAAACAGCAAGGACGAAGCCCGACCACCGATTTGACGGTGATGCCAACAGCGATCACTGCTGTTCGAGCAGGCCAACAGGAAGAGAAGAACCAGGTAGAGAACAACGCGATAACAACGACGCCGCAAACAGGCTGGTTCTCCATGCATTTTGGCCCACTTGCGAGAAAATTTGGGTATACGAGCTTCGAGAAAGTGCGGGAGTCGTTTCGAACGGCACATGTCTATGATGCGATGATGATGGATGAGACATTAGGGAAGCTGTTTGATATGGAGGCGTAGGAGATTGTCCCAAGGGTGTATTCCTGTTGTATTCACCATGTATGTAGCATGTATCAATGTACGTATTTATGTCTGTATCTCTGTAAGTAGGTGTCAAGATCTAGATGTAGGATCGTACGAGTAAAGGCGAGGCTCCAACTGTTATGCTCCGCGAGGCTCACGAGGCTTTCCCCAGAGTCCCAGCCAAAGCAACGAGTTGGTACCCACCCACCAAACGCGGCGGGCTCACCAGTTGGACTTCGAGGGCCCCTCGCGGAGGCTTTAGGCTTCAAGACGCCCCAGTTAAAAGCAGTTGACGCGCCTCCGGAAGCTTCGCTAGCCAACCCGGCACCCCACGCGCAAGGACCCTCAGCCCATGAATTTCTGGCTGGTTGATCTTCGGGGGGGTTCCCCAAATTGCACCGTGTGCATCATTTTCCATGTTGTGCATTAAATACCCATTTCCCATTTCCTCGACGTGACACCCGCGAATTTTTGGACGCTTTGGCCGGGTGGTAATTCGCGTCTCCGATCTCGTGTTCTCTACTAGAAGAGAGGGATCGCCGCAAAAGTCCACGGTATATCTATCTTCAGAGAATCCTGTTTGTCTGGCCTGTGTTGTTCCTTCTGGCCCGGAGTAAAGTGACCGTTTATTTCCTTGCTGTGGTGAGTTGGGTCGAGTCGGTTGTGACAACTCTCACAGAAGATTTCTTTGCTAACATTCATGGCAGGATACTTACTCGAGTCTGCCACCACTCTCGAGAAAAGTGCAACTCATTGCTCGTCCTCAGATTGCAATATGGCGTCCCCGTCAAGACGCGTGCTTGGTGACAAGGACCCCAACGCGCCCATCCAACACCTCTCCTCCAAAGTGCAAGGTAGAGTGTCACAACTTGCCAGTCCTGTCGCACAACGGAGCTCTACAAAGCGGCCTCGTTCCCCGGAGCACTTCCCCTCGAATAGTCCTCGAACCGGCCAGAAACGGAAGATTGGGGAGGTCCACGGCGAGGAACAAGCACAGTCCGAAGAAACAGTGGCAGCATCATTCCTCTCACAAACGACCGAGTTGCTGAGTGACACACGGTCCGAAGATGATGAGGATAATGTGCAGACCTCGATGGCTCAGAGCAGTTCGACTCTGGCTACCGCGTTCACCACATTCCGCGGCTCACAGGAGGAGTCGTCCCTGATCGAGAGCGAGTTCCACATTCATGATGAGCCGAGCCAGCAAGCCCTGGATAAAATGGTACGTTAGGTTTCATGACGGGCCGTGTCGATTCTAAGTCATACATGTTAGCACGCCGTTACCCTCACGCAAAGCACGTCTCAACTTGTCCCGCCTCTGCGGCCCAGTCTTGCCAAAGAAGCATCCCAAGTCAGCTTGAGCATGTCCAGCCTCATCGACTTTGACACCAACCGCTCGTCGCAAGACGATGAGATGCAAATGATTGAGGAAGTCGAGACACTTGCCCAAAAGCCCAAGGCAGAGGAGGATGCCAGGAAGCAGATGATGCTCGAGGTAGTTTGTCTAATCCACTTTTGTCATCCCTTGCTCTAATCCCGCGTTATAGAAAGCCGAAACTCTGCGGACTCGACTACAACTTGCGCTGTACAAAATACAAACCAACCAGATTACAAAACCATTCAGTCGTCTTCAAGTTCCCCGAATCACGTCCCCTCCGCCACGACTATCTAAACCTTCTTCACCACATTCTTCCTCGACTGTGCGACAGACCCCGGCACCAGAGAGCTCGGCTGATCAAGAAGCACGTGTCGCTGTGGCTAGAGCTTGCGCGACCATGGGGCCTAAGCCGGCTGTCAAACAGCTCTCCAGCTTGCCTATGCCAGAGATAGTCCCGACCGCTTTCTCAGCGAGATGGAATAACGAAGTCAACGCCCAACAAGAGAGTCAGAGTAGCTTGATACAACCATCCCATGTCCCAAGCAGCCCTCCTCTGTCACAAGCAGATCATACTCCTGAGCCCTCTTTCATTGAGGCGAATCTGGATGCCAAGCAGAGCACACCTTTACAGCTGTCTAGCCCGGCTCCTAGTCCGCGTGGAGAGGATGATGACGGTCGATGCAACCCCCTCCCAGTCGCTGGTCTCGCTAGCAGCGTGATCCAAGGCGAGGCTGCAAACAGTCTGCTGGACCTCGTCCGAGGTGTGAGGTCTGGCGGAATCGGGATGTGCGGCGTATGATCATTGAACTCAACTCTTGCCATTTGCCATTTTTGCGAGTGATACCATCAAACTGTGGACAACGAGGCAGCAGGCAGCATTTTTCACGGAGTTTTTTTGGGATGCACCGTAGCAAGACCTATCCATATCATGCATGGCGTTTGGAACATTTGTTTCTTTGTTAGAAATTGATCTGCCACATTGGGCGACCAATGATTTCAAAGAAGGATGCAAGGTGCAAGGTGCAAGGTGCAAGGACGGGCACGCACGAGACATGGGCTTGACATGTACGGGTTTGTTGCGTGGCCCTCTGAATCGAACCATATCTTTTTACAATCGAGCTGGTTTGCTTGATCCACTTACTCGCCTTCTTACTCAGTGCTTTCTTTGTTTGTTTGTCTTCGGGATGTGACTCTGCTCTGACAGTGACGAGGGTTTGTCACAGTCACAGTCACATATGCCATATGCCACAGGACGACTACACACCACAACACAAGTCGGTTACTCCGTTTTTCTTTGTTTCCGTGGAGAGGTGACGAAGAGCAAGTGACGAGTTCTCACCCAATGACATATTTCCCTCCCCTCGAGCGTTGGTCGTTGTTGAGTTTGATGGGAGTCTCTTTCTGTGTACCTCACGCCGTATACCTCCAGCTCCACCTGCCATCTTATCTCTTTCTATCGACCCTATTGATCTATCCATCCCTTCACTCCTCGATTCCCCAAGCGCGACCACAGATTCAAGAACAGACACATACACCCCTTCAGAATTTGAGATACGGTCCAGAGAGGGCCAGAGAGAGAGAGAGAGGGCATGACACACTTACAACTACAGCCGCAATCCCTTACGACCTATTCATCATCACAAGTCTCCGACGGTGGTGGTAAAATGTCGTACAGCTACAAGACCGATCAGGATTCATACTACAAAGTCGCCCAATCCACCCTTGCTACAGATAGGGCCACCACCACCACCCCGAGCCCATCGACGTTCGGACCTACGGCGCCTGTATCCAGCACGGCTGACGCCCACGTCTATTTCCACCTGGGACACACGGGCCACGAGGTCGCGCCTAAGCAATTTCCTGCGTGTATCTCGGCCGGGAAAGGGGTCATCGTCCGAGAAGGCTTCTTGCGCGGAGCGTGGACATGTGTGCGGGCATTTGAGAGCGAGGGGCAGGACTGTTGGTGGCATTGGAGAGGCGCCGACAACAGTAACAACGACGACGATGATAACGATGATGAAGACGACAATGGCAATGGCAAAGGACCACTACCACCACCACGGAGCGTCACGTTTCCTGCAGACCCCAGTACCGACACGCCTGCGCACATGATCCGCATCGTGGGATGCCAGATGATTGAGTTTTCGGTCCTCGCTGTTGTTGACGATACCTCTTCCGCCCATGATAATGATGGCGACGGTGAAACCGCTGCACAGGTTGGAGAAGGACACTTCATCCGACTTCGAGTTAAAGCGCTCGTCGCCGCGGCGAACGACGAATTCTCCCCCAAGGGCGGCACAGAGGGCTGTCCCATTTGGATCGGCGTCGACGAGTCTCCCGACAATATCTTTCGCTCTGCGGTTCGCCAGGGACCATCACATCAACACAAACAACGACAACAATATAGAATGTGGGAGGTGCAATGTGATGATGGGAAGGTGGTGAGGTTCTAGACTCTTGCTTCTGGTTTCTGGTTTCTAGGTACTAGGTGCTAGGGACCATCGGTATGTGTGTCTAGGTGGGAGGGAGTGCTGTTCATACTGCGACTGTATACTACACACTGCATACAGCAGGTACAGTGACTTACATCCATACCCGCTTTGAACGTACCTACCTATGTAGGAGGTAGGTAACTGTAAGTTCGGTACGTAGCAATAAACGACCCATGCTCACGTTGTCCACTCAATTTACAAATATATGACTTAGTCCCTCCTGTATGTGGTACTAACTGCCTGTGGCCCGTAGTCCGTATGACCGATCGTCTTTCAATCTACAGTAGATGAAACCATGTATTCTGTGTCGAAGCAAACAAGACATCCGGCTGGGATATTGAAGTATACGAGACAAAAACAAGGGCGAAGAGTAGTTCTCGAGTCGAGAATCAAGAGTTAGACAACCAAGCGCCCTCCCTGCTTTCTTGCTTGCTCAAACGCTCAATGAATGCTCGTCGGAGATCAGAGATTTAGTATCAGTGTCGCTTTGAGTTGGACAGACCCGACTCCATCCCAGCTGTGTGACTTGTGACTCTTATCGATTGGTAGAATCGTCGTCGTGAAGGTGATAGTGACAGGTGACAGATAACAGGTAAAAGCCTTGACAACCAGATAATAGTCTGCCCATCAGGTAGTCAATCAGCCCAATAGCCAGCAGTCTTGCTCCGTTTGCATAGAGGAGCAGCAGCAGCAGCAGCAGCATTCAATTCGTCATTAGTGTTAACGTAGTCATCATGGTCAAACGGACAAGAAGCATAGGATAGATGAGCCTCGCTGGGGAACCAAAAGAGAAAAACGCACAAAAGGTATCACAAAAGTCCTTAGTTTCATCTACCTAGTTTCCTCGACTCGAAAATATAAAAACACCATTGACATTGATTTGAATACTCAAGCCACGGCCGGAAGGTACAAGAACCCCATTCTCTGCCAAGTCAAGCGAACAAGAACCTGAACCTGAACCCAGACCAAACGCGATACATAAATGCAATACTCTCGCTTTGACTACTCCTTGATATTTACCTTCTCTATCCCTGTACATCCCTAGTCGGAAATGGCCCAACCTCCATTCTTCCACGTCGACCACGCCAGCAGGGACATCGAGGCCCTGACCATCACCGTGCGCGGACCCGTCCAAGACAACGACGGGGCGTCGTGCATCAAGTCCGGTTGGTTGAGTTTTCCGGAGCCGCGGCCAGAGGAAGATCAGTACAAGATAGAGAATGACTCGGGGTCTGAGTTTGGGTCCGAGTCTGAGGCTGAGACTGAGACGGCGGAGAAGAAGGCTAACCAGAGAAACATGAGCGAGGACACCAGCGGACAGGGGAGTATCGCCATGTCAGCTACCGCCGCGGCTGACAAGGAGACCTTTCCCGTGCTACTGAGTCCTGGTGAAGGGGTCATCATCCACTACGACCTCTGGGCAGCACAGCAGCACCTGTCGGCGGCCATCTACCCGTGGACGAACCGCGAGACGGGAAAATCCAAGGTGACGATGCCGCGGGCGCAGAATGCCGCCTATGAACTCGACATTGTCGGCGGCACCTACTTTCCCTTTGTGCTCAAGGAGTGGCACAGCTGGGGCTTCCTCAAGCTCAATGTGAAGTCCCTGGTCACGACGTCGGAGCTGCCGTTCATCCAGCCCGACTACAGCCACGGCCACCATCAAAGAACGCGGCCGTTGATGTGGATCGGCGTTGGCACCGAGACGACTCCGCCTGCCACGACGGGAACGACGACGATGACGACCGCTGCAAACAAACCCAACAGTCTCAGCCTGGTCCAGCTCGCGTACCGTGTGGGCGGGATGCACCAGGAGTCCAAACCGGCATATTGGGTCCACAAGGACGACGGTGGCGTCGAGATGATCTGAATCCACACACCTCCAACACTTGGGGCTATCGAGGAGCTAAGGCTAGAACTTGTGCAAGCGCTTGAGGGTGTAAATATATCAGGCTGGAGTGACACTTCACTGGAGGAGCAGGCCTTTGGTGTCGCAACAGAGGAAAGTGAGGGTCTTGTGGGTGGGCAACAATTTTTTCAATTTCAGCAGAATAGACGCTAGACACACGGACCGCATTTCGAGCAAGGAGTGCTTCTGTTAACAACGCTTAATGTAAACTTCTTTATTCAACATTGGGTATTGGGTATTCGGTGTGGGTACTCAGTAATGGGGGTTGAATGAGTGAATGGGCAGACAAGGCTGAGGGCCCCCTGCCTCGGACGATTTCCAAAAGCAGCAACTAGCGCCTAAACCTCTCTTGGCTAGAATCCTCTTGACGCTATCTGGAGTTGTTGTCAACTCACTCCCAGTTGATGCTTCTCTCAATAACAATATCTCATCTCATGTTACTTGCGGCAAAAACCCCAATGCGCGTGATGGGTATCCCGTTGACCCTCGCACAAATCTGTAGCTTCACCACGAGACACAAGTGTCTGCCACCCTTCGCAAATCTCGTTCTGGAACCTTTTCATTGTTGAAGTTGTGCACAAAGAGCCTGCGTCTATTCGAGCACTAGTTATGCCTTTTTGTTCATCCACTCGTCACAATATTGGTAGCCGCCCGTGCCATTCCTCTAACAGAACACCGCATCTGAGAGGTGGGCAACACTCTCGTCATTCGCTTATCTTTCTTCCCCTAGAATGTTTCTGGTTCCTCGGCTCCGTTGGCTTCCAAGTCCGGAATCTCGAACCCCTCCTCTGTGCTATAGAGTATGGTCTGGATGTTCTTCACAAGACCATTTGCGTCGGTTTCAAGAGAGGGTTCCTGTTCGACCGCATTCTGCAGGAGCAACTCAATATCGCGCAATTTGCTGAAATAGAAGTCCCGCTCTTTCTCCAATCCGGCAATGGCTTCTTTCAGCGATTCGTTTTCCGCCTTCAGAGCAGATGAACTGGCGCTTCCTGCACCGATGGCGCGCGGTGCAGGTCGACCCACAGGCGTTGTCCCGGTCTTTCGTGTGGTGCTTGCGCCGGTGCTCGTTCGTGGAGCGACGGCGCTCGATGCTGCTGGGGCAGTACCGGCACTCTTCCTTCTTGCGACCGCATCGTAATCATGCCCCGGAAAGTATTGGTCCCAGAACCGCTTTGACCACTGTAGAAACTCGAGGTTATCCTGCATTTTACATTTAACAAGTTGCTCGACAGGCACGGTTCGGTCAATGGCGTGTTTTGTAAAGCAGTCTGGAATGTCGCGGTCAGCTGGATGCCAATTGATAGAAAAGGAGATCTCGTTGTCCCCCCAGTGAACATACTTTGCAGGATCTTGAAGTTCTGTATGTAGGCATATTCGGTATTGACGTTGAATTTCACCCGAGCCATAGGAATATCAACTGAAGTCACGAATCAGCGTTTATTCAGTCCTCCCGTGTGTAGCATAAGCGCAAAGTTGCCTGGGAACGAGAAGGCATCGGAGGAGACGACATACGGAAAATGGAGTCAAATAGCTGGCAAAGCGCGGCCCTATCGATGGATGTATTAGTTTCTGATCTCAAGTCTTCCAAGTCTATAACCTACCCTGTCCCGCATTGCTCGACTTTTGTGATGTTGAGTTGGAGCAAGCCGTTCAGCCATGCCAGTAATTCTTGCCTGTATGCGAGTTAGCAACGCCATACACATTGCCTTGAGTCCCCAACTGGAACAGGCATGCGACGGGAACATTACCTTGATTCGCTCATGGCTGCAAGTATGAGGAGAGAAAGTTCGAAGACGAATTAAGGGAGTAAATTGACCAGAGCCAGGTGGAGACAAAGGGTTCGTGTCAAGACGCCCAAAGGGAATAATATCGATCGGCGCAAACAAGAAGCGAAGAGTGAAATGCAGTGCCTTAGGGTCTGCTTCAGGAAGGGAGCAGTGTGTTATGGGTGTGCAAGATACAGAGTGAAGGGAAATGTTTTTATTGCGACCGTGATTGTTGCTGCGGCGCAGGACGGACGGGGATATTGACTCTGTGACGCGGGTCCATTTGGTTTCAGGGATCGGGGATCGAGGGGTTCATCAGCCTGCAACCACCGCTACCACGACCTCCAGCTACCCAGGTAATCAACCCTTGCCGCTTCACTAACATGCCTGGTGGCTCCGTGGCTCCTTAACTAAACCACTCGGGCTAGCCGGTTGGAACCCCACCAAACGGTTAAAGGAGCGCCTGCGCGTAGTGGCCTCACCAGCCAGCACTGAAGATTATTTGGCTCCACCTCACCTTCAAGCCACCACGGCGCCCAGAAAGAAAGCATTTCATCTTTTATTATTACACACTCAAGAGATTCTCATTGCATCTATTGCCCACTTCTGACCTTTGGCTCGATCCAACAATCATTTACTTCGTTGCTTCGCTCGCATCGCTGGCCGGTTTAGCTTTGCTGTCATCTCCCTTCTTCACCGAACCGCCCGCCTGCGCATCTGCGGGCGACTTGTTGGCCTGCTCCTCTGGCACACCCTTTGTTGACGGATTCTGGCCCTCTACATCCGGATGATCGGGTGCAACCCCCGATGAATTGACCTCGTTACCTTCCTCGTCAACCAGTCTTGTTCTTGTCTCGTACTTGGTCTGGAAGGACGCTTTGCCCTCTGCCAATAATGCTTGGACCTGGGCTTCGTCCAGGAGGTTCCCATCCTGATCGCGATATTCCACACGCTCTTCTTGTCCAATCACCTTCCCTTCACCGACCTGAGGGGTGACTGCTGATGGGTTGTCTTTCCTTCCCGAGTCGATTTGCATCGAGGGAACAGTGGGAGTTGCTCCGCCGTCGCCAAAGGACGGAAGTGGCGTGGAGTATTGTGCATACTATATTTTCAGTCAGACACCATCGTTTCGAGCAGTTTCCATTCGACTTACATCAGTGTAAAAAGTGTTGCAGTCAAAATCCCAGGTATCAAACAGTTTGACTGCTCTGCACTGGTCCTGGGTCCAGGGATTGCCATAGATCAGTGGGGCATACAGAGTAAACACGCCGATTGCAAAAGCCACAAACAACACGGCGACACTCCACCCGATTTCGGGATACTTCTTCAATCCTAGAGAAGAGATCCGGTTGACGACAAAGTCAAAGATCTGGCACATAGCCATGATGGCAAAGTAGAGGGCTGGAAAGTAGTGGTGCAGGAACAACTGTCTTGCCATAAGGTAGAAGGGGAAGTAGTGAAAGGCCCATGCCAGAACAGTCTGACCGATTTCGTAGTCGAAGCGTTTGAAGTTGACGTTGGAATAGTCGTTGCAGCTTCGTTGCCAACGGAGGACGGCAATGCCCTTGAAAATGACATAGGTCAAGATGGCCAGGGTCGAGGGCCACCAAATGGCGGGATTTCCCAGGAGATAGACCTGGCGATGGTCTTTGCCCCAGAAATTGATCCCACGCCGAAGAATGGGCCAAGATCCCGGTCGGGAGTCCCAGGCGTGCGATTCGGTCAAGCCAGCGTTCGTCCTCCACATGACCTTCTGCAGTTCCCAGAATTTGCCCAAAAAGCCGGGGTTTCTGTAGTTGACCTTTTCCGCCCCTTCCCCAAGCATGGGATGCTGATTCTGTTCAATGTACCATACGCTGTTGGGGAGGGTGCCTCCTTTAGCACAAGTCACTTCCTGTTGCTCGAAGCCCCAGTCGGGTAATTTGACCTTGTGCGAGAAGAGAACGCAGCCTGTCATGATATGGACCAGCTTGAATTTCGTCTGGATCGTCCTCAGCCTCTTCTTGGCTTCTTCACCATCGGACATGGATTGGACAATCTCTACACGGAAAAGATCGTTTGCGTCGCCTTCAAATCCCTCGTAGCCATAAGCCGTTACTTCGTTTTGCCAGTCGGCCTCAGTGACGGGAGGTCGGACGTCGTGAGAGTGGATGCGCCGATGGGTTGTGAGGTGGTACAGTCTGATAACATCACCATCCCGGATAAACTCGGTGAGATTCGACCACGCTTTGGGACCTGCAACGGTGACATTGTCCGCAGTGATCGGCTGGGTCTGGTTTTCGAGAAGAAAAATGTTGTTCTCATCCTTGTGGGGGTACAAGGTGACCTGCTGTTGCTTGCTGCCACCAGGATACATGTGTGAATGCGAATGGAGATAGCCACCTTGAGTGTTGTGATGTCGGATGGTGACTTCGCTGCCAAACAGCACATCAGCAGGGGTGTCGGCCATGCCCTTGTTGTTCAGCGTCGCTTGAAATTCAGAGGACATGAAACCATCGCCATCGCCAGGATTGACCAGGCACAGGAAATGAATTCCAAACATTCCCACATAGAATGCAATTGGGATGACGATCAGACAGAAGACTCTGGCAAATAGATGCTTGAACCACTTCCTTGGGGTGACATTGACGCTGTCACCAAGCAGAACCCATAATTGGAGGATGGTCAAGGTACCGACCCACGCAATGGTGAAGAGACCAACCCATTTGACACTGACTGTGGCACCCAAACCCAGACCAGTGGCTGCAAGCCAAAACCACCAAGTCACATCAAATGCGTGTGCAGGGCCTAGTTCATGTTGATTGGTGAAGCAAGTCCATGCTAGAGCAGTGAAGGCGGTACAAATGACCAAGGGCGAGTCCAAGAGAATCAGCCTCGATTGTGTGATCAGTCCATTTTCAAAGATCAAAAGCCCGGCACCGAGACAAGCCGTGACTGTTCGGCATCCGTATGCTTTCAAGGTCAAAAACATAGTGGGAATAGTGAGAACCCCGAGGATAGCAGGTAGGAGCCGCATCGAGACATAAGGGACTTTGGGTTCAAGATAATCCTTTCCGATGTCTTTGAAATCGAAGTCGCCGTTGAAGCCAGCCAGCCAGCCAGCCAAGGTGATGAGGAGTTTGGCCAAAGGTGGATGGACGTCCATGAAGAATTTGCCCTTGATATACTTGGTAGCAAACCCGCCGAAGCTAT